GAAAAGTTAAAATTTTATTGAAAATATGTATTTTCTATGGATTTTCAACAAAAATTTCTATTAAAAAATCCGTCGGTAATACTTTCCATCGAAAATTTCCAATCATGCAGTAATTCTATTGAAAATTTCTAATGAAATTCCATTGAAAATGAAATTATTTCGAAACGGAATTCTGTTGGAAATTTTCAACGGAATTTTCCGTTGGGAATGTTTTTTCATTGAAAATTTTCATTTGAAATTTTTAGTAAAATTTTCAACAAAATTTTCTGTTGGGAATGCTTTTCCAACAAAATTTCCCGTTGGAAATAGAGCAACGGAAAATTCCGTTGAAAAAAGATTCCCAAAGGAAAGATCCATTGAAAATTTTCAACGAAATTCCGTTTTGAAGTAATTTCCAACGGAATTTTCGTTGCAAATGCTTTTCCAACGGAAATTCTATTACTAATTTTCAATTACATGTTTTATTAGCGATACTTTTTCAACAAATTCAACAATTAAAATTTTGATAATAAACATCTAATTAATTTCCACAATTGACTTTCAAAATATATAAGAGAAGCACATTAAAACCTAAAATGCAAAGTCAAGTTCATACAATTAAAAATTATCATAAACACACAATATCTCAAAATGTCAAACACATAACCTGATATAAACTCCATACTGTTATTAAACACCAATACTAAAAAGTATCAAAGTCTAGAAATGGAAAAGAGACATCATATTATGAAATATTGCGTTCTTACTTGTCAATATTTGAGCTTGAAGTACCTGTATTTTTTTGTTTTGAAATTGCATTAGTCATGATCATTGCTTCTATACGTGCCATAAATTCACTCATGCTTTCCGCCATTGTATTCTTAATTTCTTCACGTATTTCCTCACGTGTTTCCTCACGAATCTTATCTAAGTTTTCTAATAGATTTTTCACTTTTTCCTCTAATGCAATTGCGAGACTGGTAGCATTAGAGTTGATAGGGCCACACAGACTCAGATGTTACTGCATTGCTTTGTGATCCACTAAGTCTAGCTGTAACAAGCACTCGAGTACCAAACCCATATACGTGAGTGCGTGTAGTCTCCATTCCTCTAATTGCTTTAGTCCAAGCATGCGGATTGAATTATGGCTGAGAAGATGAATCTTCTCCATACTTATGTGATAATACAGAATTATACATTTCCTACGTAAAAATTAAATAAGATTAGTATTCATTATATTGACAACTTTGAAGTAAAAATTAATCAAATTTGTGCATACACTCGCAGATTTAGACTTGCTATCTATAAAATTACCGTGACTTGCTAAATGCTTAGGGGTGCGATTGAACACTTTCCAAAAGCTAACATCTCTTTTCATCTCAAT